TCTGCAACTTCTGCTTTTCACTCAACAATATGTTTTTGAGATCTATAGATCTATGTTAAGACATAGAGACTGAGGTCAAGCCTCTTAATTACTCTATAGTTCTTTACCATATAAATGTCCCATATTTTACTGACCCATCCCCCTATTACTGGATGTTCCCAATCTATTATAAACCTTACTTTGTATTTTCATATCTCTGAATTAGAGAAAAAAGAGGAAAATATTATTATCGTTTCACAAAAAAAAGGAAAATGAAAACCAGTCATAATTATCATTAAGATTTGTTTTGATTGGCTGTCATTTCTGTGCAATAGACCACACTGACACATATCACTGTTTGTACCTGGAGTTTGATTTTCTCTTTTTAGGCAAAGTTGTGTTGTTCAAAGATGAAAGGCTCAGTAAAAATCCTCCTTCCTAGATGACACTGGCCTAATGTACTAGTGAACTGTAATACAACATGGACCAAGATTGCTGGTCTTCAGGGTACGGTCTGGGCTCCTTCTGACTCAGCACAGGACATTTCAGAGTCTGCTGAGGTAAATGAGAGGCTGCAAGTCAGATTCTGGTAAAATAAAAGTTGACACTTTACCACGGGAATCAAAGTAGGTATTTCAGTTTTCTGCAGTAGGTTACCTTTCAATTGAAGAAATTTCAGAGGATTAAGAATGCTGCTTGGGGTTATTTTCATTTTATTAATTAATGTTTTACCTCTGGATAGAAATAAGGTATTCAGTTCAGTAAAGGCTCTTTCATTTGACGTATGTAAAGTCATGGTGGGCATTACGGTTGCCATTTTACGGATGTGGAAACCAGGGCGCAGAATGGCCATGCAGATTGTAGAGGGTGACAAAGATAGTTTGTCTCCTAGCTCAGGATTTCTCTTTCTTGAAATCAAAATGGGCCTGAACCATAGCCAGGAGAATGGGAGACAGAGGAAGTGAAATTACGGACTTCAACACACAGGTATTATTTTTAAAATTATTTTTAAATAGTATTGCTTTTACCTCCAAAGCAAAACAAGTTCAGAAGACATAACCTTAGCCGACTGAAAGCATGTAAGCAACATTCTTGAGACTAATCACTCAGTAAATCACGTTGGCCTTTCCTTGCCTGGGAAGATGATTTTTTTTTTAAATTCTGCAAAGCATTACTGACCTTCAGTTTCACCTGCTTTTGCTGCGGGCTTTCATTAGTAAACACCTGAATCTCAGAATTGTTAATGGAAAAATGATTAATGGAATCATTCTCCCTAGGGGTCAGCAGACTCATATGCCCTGAGACCCTTGCTAGAACTTCACTTTCTTGGGTCACCTATGCAAAAATCTTATCTTCATGGAATATGATAGCTAAAAACTCGTGTAGATTTAAAATGAAGAGGGAAACTCTCCTCGTATACTGGAGATTCTGAAAATCTACAAACAAACTAGAAAACTGAGCCTCAACCTAGCTGTGTGGTCATTTAATCTCCCTATGCTTCAAATTTCTCACAGTACTTAGTGTATCACAGTACCTGCCATACCTGGAGTAGATGAAGCATCAAATAAAATGTTCTAAGTACGTTGAAATGCACACTACAAATAACATGGGCTTTTGGAGTAAAAAATTTAATCTCTTACTAAACCATGTCATAGATGTGTGATTTGGGGCCTTAAGCTCTCTAAACCTTAAGGTTCCTCCCTATAGAACAAGGGTAAGAATAAACACTGCCTCAAAAGGTTCTTATGAGAAACTTCTTCATGGTAAATGTGAAGGTGAATTACAACCTAGAATGTTCTGGGTTTTATTTACAAACACATGTGTCCATCTAATGTATGATGACTGCTCCTTTTTAACCCTCTTTTGCCCTTGGGAATGGCCACATTTTTTTCTCGTATGCTGTTCCAAGTCTGACTCTGTAGAAATTAAATGCTCTTGTACCTTCCTGTCACAGATAGTTTAACTGTATACATTTTACATCAGATAGGTGACTAGCAATATGTGAGCAACTATCTTTTCCATGGTTGTTTCACTAACAGTGAGGTTACATCTGATCATGCTGACTGGGCTGTATCTGGTTTGCTCTGGAGACTTTGCATGTCTCCACTCTGTACCCTTCTGTGCTGATCTAGAATTTAGCTGTCAAGGGGCCATCTCATGTTCCAAACCAGCCATTGCTCCAGGAGCCCCTTACTCTTAATCATCACAGAATCCATCTGGGAAATGATCACAGAATCCATTCAAGAAATGGATCGTTCAGATGGTCCTACTCAGAGAGCAAGGAGAAACTTGCAGCCCCTCATTTCAACCTGAGCAAAACAGGGTTCTAAAAATACACACACACACACACACACACACACACCAACATCTTTTATTTTACCGGGAAGAAGGCAAATTTTCTCTTTCAAGCAGTACTGCAAGAGCAAAATATTGCCCAGCTCTCAGCTAAACTAGTGCTACGTTAGGCATACTTGAAATTCACTTGCAGAGTGCTTTGCCAATTCATGTAATTTTAAATGTCCGTTACATAATTCTCCCAAGTTCCTAGATGGTCTAGTGAAGGGGACTGAATCCCTTTCCCACATTTTTCAGATGAAGGAATTGAAACCCAGGAAGGGTAAACAATTGAAGGTCAGACAGGTGCTGAAATCCAGTCTCTGAGTCCTATGACATCAGAGCTTCTTGACCCTGTCCACAGCAGTTCCCCTGAAAAGGAGCATCCAGCGGGAAGAGGAGATGTTATTTTAAAACAGGTATATTGAGGTATAATCCACCTACCATGCAATTCACCCATTTAAAATGTATAACTCAATGGCTTTTAATATATTCCCAGAGATGTACATTCATCACCACAATGAATTTTAGAACATTTTCATTATACCGAAAAGGACCCTTGCACTTCTAAGCTGTCACCACCCCAAATATCTGTCCTCCCCAGACTTAAGCAACCACTAATCTATTTTCTATCTCCATGCACTTGCCTCTTCTGGACAATTCATATAAATGCAATTATGTTTCTTTCACTTAGCATAATGTTTTTAATGTCCATCAAAGTTGTGGCATGTAGCAGAGCTTCATTACTCTTCACAGCTGAATAATATTGTACTGCATGGCTATAGCCCACTTATTCATTCATTTACGAATGGACATTTGGGTTGAATTGTTTCCACTTCTCGGCTATTTTAAATAATGTTACATTATTATTTGTAACACTCATGTACAAATTTTTGTATGGATGTATATTTTTTATTCTTTTGGGTATATACCTATGAGTGGACTTGTTGGATCGTATGGCAACTGTATGTTGAACTATTTGAGGAACTGTCAGACCATTAACCAAGGTGGCTGCACCATATTATGTTCCCACCAGCAGTGTATGAAGATTCTAATTTCTCCACATTAGTACCTGCTGTTATCTGTCATTTTTATTATAGCGTATCATAGTGGGTGTGAAGTGGTATCTTTTTTTTAATTTATTTTTAAAGACTTTATTTATTTATTTGAGAAAGAGAGAATGAGAGACAGAGAGCATGAGAGGGAAGAGGGTCAGAGGGAGAAGCAGACTCCCTGCTGAGCAGGGAGCCCGATGTGGGACTCGATCCCGGGACTCCAGGATCATGACCTGAGCCGAAGGCAGTTGCTTAACCAACTGAGCCACCCAGGCGCCCGTGAAGTGGTATCTTGTTGTGGTTTTGATTTGCATTTCCTTAATAGCTAAAGAGGTGGAGCATGTGCTTATTGGCCATTCGTATATCTTTTTTGGAGAAAACCAAGCAGTTGCTTTCTTTAGGTATTTGGTACCATTCACCAGTGAAGCCATTTGGTTCTGAGCTTTTCTTTGGGGGAAGAATTTGATTACTAATTCAATCTCTTGTTATACATCTATCCAGATTGTTTGTTTATTCTTGAGCCAGTTTTGGCAGCCTGTCTTTCTAGGAATTTGTCCCTCTCATCTAGTTATCTAATTTGCTATCAACAGATGTCATAGTATTCTCCCATGGTTCTGTAAGGTCAATGTGGGGATATAGTTTTAAGTTCCTACTTCAAAAGCACAATGTGTTTGAAGTTCATGCTTTATTGTAGGGAAAAAAAGCCCTATGAATAGATCTATTGTAATACAAAAGAGATATTTACATTATTTACTATTAAGTAAAAGTGAAGTACTATAGAGAGTTCTGCATATTTATCCTGTTCTTTCACTACCCTACCCTCCAAGCAAGGTATGGGTAGCCCAGTTTGAGATAAGCATGACAAGATAAATTCTCATCAGGGAGAGATTCCCATCTTTGCTCAAGACAGCCCATTTGTCTTAATTGTGCTAAGGTTCTAATTCCCAAGGTTTCACAGTGGACTCACAAACTGGAAAAACAGGACCAGAGGGTTCACAAATTTCATTGTAAAGATCAATCCACAAAGCATCCCTGTACTGTCACAATGGAGAGGAAGGAGATTGCTTTGTTAATGTGTGTGTGTGTGTGTGTGTGTGTGTGTGTGTGTGTGTGTTGGGGTCTGTGTGTCTGTGTTCTCCGGGCTAGATGGCAGTGCAGGGATCTTGACAGTCTCCTATCTCTGGAATACCAACAGCAGAAACTAAATAGCCGAAATGCAATCTTTTTTCCCAAATAAACACAAAAGAAGAGTATTTTTAACAAAGCTATATTTCAGATTATTTACTTTACAGTGAGTCCTGTTTCTTTTATTTCAACAAAGGAGATCTGCACCAGATATATTCCTTGCTGTACAAAAGAAAATAAAACCCAAAAATTTAACTTGTTTTTTTATAATAAACTGGTGATTTTATCATGTACGGTAAACAAAGTGGCATTCACATAAACCTAAGATGATGTTTTAATGAATACAGTAACTAACATTTCCCCTAAACCCTTATAATTAATCACTTGAATTAATGATAAATTAATCATTCAGCATCAATTCCTAGTAAAAGATGATTATTTTTAACTCATGTGTTAAGTTCATCAGAATAAAAAATAATCTATTTCCTCTTCTTTGTTTTTTCTTAGAAAAGCTGTTCTTGAAGACCACCTGCTATTTAGTGATAAGAATGTTTGGACCGGACCTCGTTAAACTGTGAGTATGCTGGCATATTAACCTGGGTCAGTTGCTGGGACGTGGGGGCAACAAGAAAGCTGCCAGGCAGCTGGATGTACTCGCTGAACAAGGGCTTGAGCTGTGTTCCTGTTCTTGTTAGTAGTGGAACATTCAGACCTGACTCAGATCCATTGCCACTAGAGGCAAAGTCTCCCCTTGAATTACATAGAGTGTGGCACCTGGCTCAATTTCTCTTCAAGAGCCTTTCAGGAGGAATTTTAGCAACAAGTAACCAGATCCTACTGTCCGGACCTAAGCATTTAGCCCCTTCTCCTGAGCTCCCCAAAGAGCCCCGGCCTTTCCCTTGTCTCCCAGCTCAGGTCCCAGACCATGTTCTTCTTAGGTTCTCCTCTCTCCTCCCTCAGGTTTCCTGGCTCTCTCCACAAGCCCTAGCCCTTGCCCCTCAGGATCCCACATGGGCGCCATTATAATCTGTCTGCTTCCTTCTTTCGCTTGTGTTTCTTTCTTTTTTGAGCTCAGGTGCACTGGATCAGATAAATCATATTCCTTCCTATTCACGGCATTTTCTCATCAAGCATCCATACATGGCTTTCTTATATTTATTATTTAGTTACTTAGTTACTTTGAATAAAGTAATTAGCTTCCAAACCCACCACCCAAAACTAAGTCTAGGACCTTGATTATAATTTACTCTAACCAGCCAGTCCCTCTGTCATTCATTCTCATACTTTTCTCCATCCACTTAATAAACTCCATATTCATCTTTCTCTTGCTTTCCTTTTTCTGTTGTTTTAGTATACATGTATATATACTTATGTTAATATATATTGTGTTAAATTTATACATATTTATTTATGCTAATAAATATGTATAATATATATTTATATATAATAAATAGAATAAATATATGTAATATATTATTTATAATTAGTATATAAGAAGTATATGTCAATATAATAGAGAAAATTAATCTTACTCAAATATTAATGGATTAATAGCTTAATGTTTAATAATTATAATTAATGGTAAAATAATGTAACTAAATAAAATAATTAGAATTTTACTATATTTATTATATATATTTCTTTAAAACTTATTTCTTTCTTTAGTTTATGAAGAGAGTATGCCATTGTATATAATCTTTTGGGACCTACCACTTAGATTTATATGTCTAAGTTTCATCCATAACATAACATAGTGTCATTGCTGTAGTTTATTTCCTCTGACTATATAGAATATTGTGTCTCTACAAGAGTCTATTCCTTCATTCTCCATTGATGGGTTTTTGGGTTGTTTACTGGTTTTCTTTCTTGTGAATGGTATTATGATGAATATTCTTATGTGGTTCCTCTTTTATATGCCATTAGCCTCAAAGCAGAGAGGCTCAGAGGCATCATTCCCCACAACTAGGTAGCCTAGAGTTGCAGAATTTTAAAGACAAGAGGAACTTAAAATCATACGGTCCACAGTGGTAATCAGTGCTAAGTTGTGCTGTATACCTGCCTCCATCAATATGTACCTCACTCTATTATGGTAAATGATTTCTAATGAGCCCCAGACTGTGAGTGTTTGGAAGGCAGGGATGCTTTCTTTTTAACTCCTACTTCTATTACTGTTCCTCCCTCCTAACTGGATTCTAGGCTTGCAGGTTTGCCCACTGGCCTGGAAGTCAACAATCCACATTCTAGCTGGCCAAATATCTGTTAAATGCCAAACTAATATGGCACAAACATAAAATTCTTCAGTCTTCACACCTTTTGCAGGATTCCTTAGTGATATACACAGGGCTATTTATAAATCAGTCCCTGAGGACATTTTCAGATTCACCCCTCCACACTCCAAACCACTTGTAATTCCCCACACACACCAAGAGGTTTTGGCCTCAGGACATTTGCATAAGATGTTCCCCCTGCTTGGTGCCTCGGAAACATCTACCCCCAGACAAATTCTACTTCTTTAGACCTCAGTTCCAGGGTCTTTTCCTCTGGAAGCTTTCCTGACCCTCTGCAGGCTAAGACAGACAACATTTCCACTGCTGTCACCAACACACACACACACACACACACACACACACACTCACACTCACACTCCTGGGACACCGTGCAAACCCCTAGCACAACACTTACCACATCTATGTGTGATTTCATTCTCCATGGACTTTTCTGAGTTGCTAACTAGATTGAAAGTCTTCTGAGAACCAGGACTGCATTTTATTCATCTCTGCATCTCTAGGTACTTAGCAAAATACTGAATATGTGGAAGGAAGGGAGGGAGGGTGGGTGGGTGGAGGAGAAAGAGAGGGCTTTGTATCTTCAGGGCTTGGTGCTATATTTGAGTCTTCAATATATATTGAAGGCTTCCATAAATGCTTGTTGAATTATTTTAAAAGAACAAAAGTAGCACTACAGATGAACTATGACTAGTCTGCTCCAAAGAAACTGCTTGAACATATTAAAACAGAAAAAGAAAAACTTTTTAGCCTATCCATTGAATCTGCTTATATACCTAGTATGAGGTATATAAGTGCTCTGGGGGAAATGTCAGCTTGACCAGAGAGGTTCTGCTGGGCCTGGATCAGGGAACCAGAGAGGTAGGTGGAAAAAAGTCACAGAAGCTAGAGGGCAGTGCATGCAGATACCCAAAAGGGGAAGCCAGAGATTAGCTACCACGTGTGCTGGGAGTAAAAGGGCTGTGGCCTAGGTTGGTTGAGAAACCCATTGTTCTTCTGTAGCTGGCTGGAGAGTGGCAAGTGCAAGAGACATATAAGCACAAGGATCAGAGAAGACAGACAGACACTATACTACGTACTGCAGGTGTGAACTGTACAAGGGACAGTCCCCATCTCAAATGACAACAAATGACAACAACACAAGGTGTTGTAGAAGAATCGTCCCAGCAAACCACCAAAAGAGGGCCACTCCCTGAGTAGGTGGCAGGGAGGGGAGGACATTTTTTCCTTTGAGATGACTTAAAGTCCTAAGACAACAAATTCTCATTAGTATTGGGTGGGCCATTTGAAGAAAGACATATGTAGTAAATCATCCCTCTTCATGGTTCTGTCCACCATTAGTTTGATTTGTGAGTAATTTTCCAGTACCCGTATTAGTTGTTTGCTGATAGACATGTCTCCTCTTATACTGTGCTTTTTTTCTTACAACTTGTTTTAATCAATCACATACAATTTTGGGTTGATATAGGTGCTGAAAATGACAAACGTATGATTTAGTTTTACCTGAATTTCAGGCTTCCAGTATTAAATGTGTTTCCTAACCCAGAGGGCATCCCTCCTCATTATTTCATACCAGTCAATTCTCAATGATTCATGGACTAATTATTCTGCAATTACATTTCCTGCCCATTGGCAAGCCACAGGATATTTTGGGGAAGTGGAACACCTGAGCACTCAGGCATTCCCCCAAGAACCTGGGTCATGCAGGGAGGGGATAATTCTAGGAGCAACCAATCCTAGCCAGTGACCACATCCTAGGTCCTCCTCTACCTGGTTTTGACCTCCATCATGCCATTTGTTGCCATAGCAAGCCTGATCCTTGTCTTCTGTACATCTCACCTTGCTTCCTGGGATTTATTCATGCTTTCCTCCAAATCATAAACTCTTGTATTCCAAACCTAGGAGCTCTCAGAGATCAGGAGAGGCCTAAGCTACTAACATTTTTTAGAAGAAAACGTGTAATGGGGTTTATAACATAGTACGCCTTAAATGTAATTAATGTATTTTTTAGACACCAAAAACACAAAGCAATATCTGTGCCAGTCACAAGATAATTACAGCAGTCTCCCCTTATCCAGAGGGGATACATTCCGAGGCCCCCCAGTGGATGCCTGAAATCAGATAGTACTGAACTATATATACTATTTTTTCCTATACATACATACTTGTGTTAAAGTTTAATTTATAAATTAGGCATAGGAAATGATTAACAACCATAGTAAAATAGAACAATTAGAACAACACACTGTAATATAAGTTATGTAAATGTGATCTCTCTGTCTCTCTCTCTCTGAAAATATTTATTGCACTGTACTCACCCTTCTTGTTGTGATGATGTGAGATAATAAAATGCCTGCGTGATAAGATGAAGGGGGATGGATGACAAGGCATTGTGATGTAGCGTTAGGCTACCTTTTTTTTCATTATGTTCAGTTAGCCAACATATAGTACATCCTAAGTTTTTGTTGTAGTGTTCAACGATTCATTAGCTGCGTATAACACCCAGTGCTTATCCCAACACGTGCCCTCCTTAATACCTATCACCTGGTTACCCCATCCCCCCACCCCCTCCCTTCTGTAACCCTCAGTTTGTCTCCTGGAGTCCAGGGTCTCTCATGGTTTGTCTCCCTCTCTGATTTCTTCCCAGTTTTCCCTCCCTTCTCCTGTGGTCCTCTGCTCTATTCCTTATGTTCCACATCTGAGTAAAACCATATGATAGTTGTCTTTCTCTGCTTGACTTATTTCACTTAGCATAATCTCCTCCAGTCCCATCCATGTTGATGTAAAAGCTGGATATTCATCCTTTCTGATGGCTGAGTAATATTCCACTGTATATACGGACCACATCTTCTTTATCCATTCATCTGGTGAAGGTCATCTTGGCTCTTTCCACAGTTTGACTATTGTGGACTTTGCTGCTATGAACATTGGGGTGTATGTGCTACCCTTGACCTTCAGATGATATGTTAGAAGGAGAATCATCTGCTTCCAGACCACAGTTGACCACCAGTCACTTAAACTATGGAAAGCAAAACCACAGATAAGAGGGGGACAAGTGTACAAGATTTAGAGAAATGAATAAATTTATAGTGTGCTATGGGTGTGGCCCAGAAATTAGATAAAAGTATTAAGTTGCATGAGGAAGATCTTTCAGTGTTGTGAGTATATCTCTGTGACTATATATCAATATATAAACTTTCTTTGAAAGTGATGTCAAGGTCTAAATTTGAGAGCTTTCATGTGTGGAAGGCCCTGTCCTCACTCCCTGCCATAGGCTGTTACTCTGTCTATTAACCTGTCTGTTAACCCTGACCTTGCTCCCTTCTTTTGATTTATGGTGATGATCATCATCATTGACTTCATTCTACTATGATCCTAATTAAACTTGTTAATTAGCTCTGCCAAATGTGTTAACGCCTCCTCCCCCACCACCCCTGGTCCCCCACTACATGCCTCATTCCTACACACCTCTATACCAGTAAGGGTAGTAAAAAGAAGTGAATTAAAATGTGACTATTTTGGGGCACCTGAGTGGCTCAGTCGTTAAGTGTCTGCCTTCGGCTCAGGTCATGATCCCAGGGTCCTGGGATCGAGCCCCACATAGGGCTCCTTGCTCAGCGGGAAGCCTGCTTCTCCCTCTCCCATTCCCCCTGCTTGTGTTCCTGCTCTCGCTATCTCTCTCTCTCTCTCAAATAAATAAAATCTTTAAAAAAAAATAAAATGTGACTATTTTGGTCTTTTTGCTGCTATAGGAAAATAATATTGGGTGGGAATGGTTATGATGAATTTGGAGATTTCCTAAGGATTTCACATTTTATGCATCACCTGAGCTTTCTGCCCCATGGCTGGTAAAGAGCACATAAGCTACTTTGCCACTACTTTGCATCTTGTACATTCTAGTGGTCTTACACTTGTCTGGATTTATGAGGCTCAGCATTTTCTATTCTTGTCCAAAGGACTGTTTCTCACTTTCAGTCTTCTGATGATGAAGCTCTGATCTTAGAGGACTCTGGGAAGAACACCACATACCTAGTTTTCCTCTCCTCTTCCTCAGTGTAGAGACCATCAGCCTCACTCTCTGACTGTGGGGACCCCATTTCCACTCCTGTAATCCAGTTCACTTACTTGAAATTGTGCTCTATTTGCAGAGAAAATGAATAGGTCTTGGAAATCATATGATTAGTTGGTGGTCCTGGATTACCACAGATGGGATTATTGGCTGTAGGTTAAAAAAAAAAAAAAGCAGAGCCCTATTCATCACTCTCCTGAGCCCACTAAATATTAGACCCCCATAAAGACAGCAGTCATCAGTTAAATAAATGAACCATTAAGTTGAGGACAGATGTGTGAAAGCAGCCACCCTCTCCTGATTTACTGACCCTTAGTAGACATTAGTTTGCTAATGGACTTTATCTGCTATATACAGCTTGACCCGCAACTTAGAAGATAAAAGACCTCCTTTTATACTTTAAGTTACCTTCCCCTCCACCTCTCATGAAGGAGCCCTGGGGCCAAGCAGATGACTCTCTTTCTCCCTCTTAACTTAGATGCTCACAAAAGCTTAAGAAGCCATCTTGCCAGGCCTCAGACAGAGATGGAAACGGGACTTGGAAGCCCCCAGGAACACAGGGGCACATTCTCCCCAGGCTTCCTCACTGCACAAACTGGGTTCTGACCCCTGAACCCCATCCTACAGATTAGTTTTCCAAATGCTCAGTCCACATGGCAGAAGATAACATTATAGTCCCAAGTCACTATAGCTCCTATTATTCTGGGAACAGCCCAGAATGAAGTTGAAATCTTTAGTACTAATTCTAAATTTCCATAAGAGAGAATCTGACTGATCCTACTTGTCCAATGTCATCCAATGAGGTCCAATCAATGGGCCAAGAGATAGGGAGTACAAACACAGTTGCCGGGAACCTGCCCCTATGGGTGAAGGGAGGCTGTTAAATGATCATGTGAATTGGGAAGAAACCCCAAAAAGTATCTTCTAAAATCTAGATCTGTGTTTCTGAGATTAGTCTCTAGATATTACCAACCTATGTTTATAGATTCTTTTTGTTGTTGTTTTGGTTTGATATGGGTTGGGTTTGAATCAGTGATTTCCTTGGAAAAGTTACTAAAAATCCATACTCTATTTGTTCCTTCATTTGAAGCAGCACATTGTTCTCATTCTTCTTGGTAAGAAGAGTTTGGGGATTGTCAGGTAGAAAATGAATATGGAAGGTTTGTTTTAGCCCCTTCAAACTAGATTAAACCAAAATATTTGAAGAACACTTTCCTTATACCATCCTGGGGCAGGGGGAGTCAACTATATTGTATTTTCTTCCAAAAGAAATATATTTATTGTAAAGGAAAAGAAAGGATTTGGATTATGCCTTAAAAATAATTTTAGGTGTTTAAGGCTTTATCACACATGATTTTTTTTTTGCTATAAGGCCTAGCAAACTTTAAAATATTATTTCCATCAAATTATACCACTCTCCATTTTTCCTTTCCCAGTTGTATTTGTGGCTTCTTCTGAAAAGAATCACAGTGCCCATGTGAGAGGCTGACCACAGCTCAGCGCTGTCTGTGCCCCCTTCCCACCCCCAAGACCTTATTCTAAACAGAGGAGAGAACAACGCGGCTGGAGATCGTTATGATCTGGCAGCTACATGGGGCTGGACTCAAACACCAAGCTAGAATCCATTCTGGGGATTTACCTTCCTTTGAAATAAGTTCTATTTCCTAAATGCCCGAGAGATCTTAAATAGCCTTTGTTCTGTCCCATTTCCCTCCAGGCTTAGCACAGCTATGAATGCTGATGTGGTGTGTCATACCCTGGAGTTTTGTAAGCAGGACCCTGGCCAATCATTGTGTCATCTCTACCCGCTTCCCAAGGTGAGTGGGTTTTCACTTTGAATGTCAGATTATGGTGACATGCAAGCCCTTTGGAAACGTTGTAAAGGGAGGTTCAGCTTCACTGGCTCAGGGGTTTGGGAACAGAGAGAGGCAAGATGACATTTTCAATTACATCATGTGAAATAATGTTGCCCTAGACCATTCCCCCCACCCCATGCTGCCAAAGAATGTCTTTCCTATTTAACTATCGTAGACTATAATCTAGGGCTGGGCTGGCAGTAGGTGGGAAATCTAACCAGCCAAGAAGGTAAGATATTAAATTTCTCTCTACCATTTAAAAATCAAGCAGGTCACTTTTGTAGAAAGATAAACTCATCCAGTTTGCCCAGGACTTTGCTGGGATAAGCCCTGAGAGTCCCACATCCTGGGAAAACCTGAGCAGTTGGTCATCCTAGTCTGAGCTTTATTGTACTCTCCCCAAAACGGGTATAATAAAATGCCTAAAATACCTCCTTCATAGGTTCGTTGTGGGAAGTAAGTTAGCTAATACACCCAAAATGCTCAGCACTATACCTGCTACATAAAAACGTGTTAGTAGAAGTGGTAGCTAATATCATTACTATTCAGATAGCTCTTCAGAACACCCTACATGCATTATATCATGTGGGACAATTTTCAAATGGAAGGCAGCAGACATGGCTGCAAATGTTGACAAAATTCTCAGCTCACATTCTGAATGAAAGTATAACACTGAATCTGGTTAGGCCTCAAAATATTGATTTTTCAGAAGCTTCCTATAAATAATTAATTAAAATAAAATAAAATTCTATGCTTCCTATTCCGGAATTGTAGTTTTTCTGTGTACGACACAATAGGTTTCTGTTTTATATGTAAACTTCCTTTTTATTCTCATTGAATTAAAGTCAGTTTAACACTTTGTGGCCTAACCGATGAACATGATGCTGCTGACTGACAGCATTAAATATCATAAGCCTGTCCCCTTGAGAAGGAAAAGAGGGGTGCCAATGCCTGGAGTATAAGCACATGTCATGCTTCCTAGGTCCTTGACTACGTGCCAATTACATTTCCCCGAATTCTACCTGAGAATCTTTGAAATCCACTAGTTTCTAGAAGGGATAGGCACTTGTAATTAAAAATTTTTTTCATGTGTTCAAATAGCATGTGAATATGGTATCGTAATATTCGCTATTTGATAATGCACAGAGGAAACGTGTCTCTATGTACAAAGGTGTGTGATAGGGTTTTTTTGTCATTTCCTTAAATAACATCACATTATATAGACATCACAACCACAGTTACAAATAGTCACAAAATGTTCAACTTTAAACTGTCCCATGTAAAATGACATTCTTTATTTTCGTACCCTGTGGAGTTTATACCCAGAATACCATTTCCTTGTCTTCCCATCACAACACCCTTTGCAATTCCTAACTCGGAAGTGTTTCAGCCATCCTAGCTGGCTGGGAGGGAGTGGGAGGATTTCACCCTAGAAATGGCTCAGCTTGCACCCCAGCATGGCTCAGCTTGACGTTCCCCCAGTCGCTGTTCTAGACTTTCATCCTCCTCCTCAAATCCCCATCACCAGTATCCATCCCTACAAGTGCCCCAGAGAAGAGGGGCAGTTGGTGCAAACATGGACAGCTTCACTCTCTTCTGCTTTCAAGATTTCTTTAATAGCAACAGCTGATACTTCCTGAGGACTCACTAGCCTACATGGTGCTGTGCTTACCCTTCATCTTATTTAGTCCCCCAGACAACTCCAGGACGGAGGCACCATTGTTTATAATGACCCCTTTTTTTAATGTTGCAGAAACTGGGGTAAAGAGGTTATGTACCTTGCTGAAGTTCGCTCCCTTAGGAAAGACCAGAACTGGGATTCGTATCCCTAGCCTGCTGAGAATGGATAGTTGATCTCTTATCCATTGTCAGTGTTTCTGAAAATCCTTCCTGGGGTGTCTCTTCACACCAGTCAGCTGAAATCCCACCACCACAAATAACCAATGTCAAAATGTTGGATGTTTTCCTTTTAATTCTTAAATTAATTATTATTATTATATTGATTTTTTTGAGAGTCATGATAGTGTATATGTAATTTTTTACTCTACTTTTCCCCCTTAACATTACACTTTGAGCATGTATTTTTTAATTGTATATATCAGACCTTCTTTTCATTTCCATGGCGCACAAATTACACCTACAAAGCAGGTGTGAGTTAGTCTGGAATTACCTACCTACTAAAGATGTAAATAATTTCCAGCCTGCTGCCAGATGTCTCCCTCATGACTGTCCCAGTCAATACCTACCCCCCAGTGTAGCCACTGTTCTAAAATCTATCACCACAGGTTAGTTCATTCATATAAAGTTCTGTTCTTGAATGTCATATAGATGGAATCATACAATATGGTCTTCTCCGTGTCTGATTTTTTTGCCTGTGAGGGGCATTGTGTTTTGCGTGTGTAACGGTATCACTGCATGAAGGATCCCCACCATCATCCTTTGATGTCATTCCTGCTCTAGCTTCCTAGTTAGTCCAGTCAAATTCTGCTCTTGCCTGCTTTCCAAAAAATTCTCCACACCAGTGCCAGAAAGGCCTTTCTATGAGGTAAATTTGATCTTGTCACTCCACCTCAGTGCCTTGCTGTGGAAATCAGTTTCTCCCTCATTCTTCAACTGGGTGGACTTCCCGTCCTTCAGATCTCAGCTCACATGTTGCTTTTTCAGGGAGTGCATCCCTGACTAGTCCTACATACCCTTCTTGTCGAAGCTCTTGTAGGCCCCTCCACGGAACCTGCCTTGTTTTAATGAACAATGAACATGATGCTGCTTCCTGGGATAAGCCCTGAGAGTCCCACATCCTGGGAAAACCTGAGCAGTTGGTCACCTGGGTGATTGCCTGTCTATCCATCTCTCCCACTAGGCTATCACCTCCAGGAGGACTATGCCTTGGTCACCACTGTACACCCAGTGCCTAGGATGGTGCCTCACACATAACAAAGAAGTATTTGTCAAATGAATAAACAAAGTGCCACTAGCTTTTCATTTGCATCACTGATGGAAATTCTGATTTCCCTTACTTCATGGACACATTAATTTTCCCAGTGCCTATCTCTGTGCCCAGCTTATGATTTCTATATTGCCTACCCAGTTAGGTATACATTTTCACTTAGCATTTCAGGATTCTCAAAAAGCCTTCCTGGACTTCCATGGTTATCCTTGTGTACCCCCGGCTGCAGCCAAAATGGAGCGATTGGCTCTCTCTTGAGCTTACCTTAACCTTCCCACCTCTGTACGCTTGTTCTCAATCATTCCTTCCACCCAGGATGTCCTGTCAATACCAGGCCCACCTTTCAAGCTCACATCTCTGTCACTTTCTCTGTAGAATAATTCTTAATCCTTTCCACAAAATATTAACTCTGCTCTCCACCAGCATCATAAATACCTTTTGAAGTACTATGATGTGCAAATGTTCTAAATGCTTCATGTACATGAATCATTTAATCTTACGAAATAGGTATTGTTGTTGTCCACATGTTATAGATGAGGAAAGAATAGCACAGAGATATTAAAATTTTAAGTTTACATACATTTTCTTATTAAGATGTAAGCTTATCAAGGCGGCAGGTCTGCATCTTGCCCGTCTTTGTTGCCTCCATTGTGCCAGGCACGTGTTTGGTGTCTGGATAATATACCAGCGCTGCACTTGACATGTGTGATCTTTAACGGTGCTCCTAGGGGGTAGGGATTATTTTACAGGTGAAGAAATTGAGCCTAGGAGAAGTTAAGAGATTACAAAGTTAATAAGTGACAACCAGAGGATTCAGCTCCAGGTCTGTTTGTCTTTAAAGCCCAAGCTCTTCCCCACTGTGTTCTAGGCCTCACTGCTACTCCTGGGGTATAGTTACTTTTAATTGAACCACTGCTCCTGGGCCAGTAATTTCTCACAAGCAAGACTCTGCACCCTCAGTGTCCTGCTCTGCATGTGTTTCCGATTCTGGTAAAATACAAATAATGCCACACGAGCCATTGCCCCTGTGAAATGCATGCTGCAGGGTGGAGGGGAAAAGGGGGTCCTTCTGCTCCAGGGAGCTGGTGGTCAGAATCCAGCAGTGTAGAGCAACGGGATCTGACTTCAGTAGGAACAAAAGTACAAGTGGAACCACATTTAGGGACCTTAATAAACTGCCCATCATCTATGGCGCAGTTGACATTCCAAGCCCACTTTTTGCCCATCCTTTAGCTATGGCTCATATCGTTATCTACCGTGTGCTCAAAATGACAAACGTCATCCATAATTAACTGAAGCAAGAAACAATCTACAATGTTCAGCTGGCACCAGGAGAAGGGGGGCGGGGGGGGTTGGAAAGGAGGACAAGACAGGATAGGAAAGGAACAGAAAGAAGAAAATTGCAGACTGCATTGTGAAGACCACCCAGATGGTTCTGTGGTACCTACTTTGAGGGGATTATTTATACCACTCTTACTCTCCTTTGCATACAAAACAAGGCAGTGCCTGCTGCTGGAACATGCACGCACGTGTGTGTGCTTGCACGTGTGCATGCTTGCGTGTGTGCATAAGCAGGACCCTGACACTGAAAATTGAATGCAGTTCCTTCATGTGTACCTTGTCATGCTTGAGTCGTGTCTTTATTAGATCAGTGTTAGAGTGCACCCATTGGGCCAGGAGCAGATCCTCCTCAGCTTTATGCTCCTCCCTCCAGGCATACCCTGTAACTTGGAACAGGTGCCCTTCCTAACCATTCTTGAGCTGCAGGGACATGCTACATTCACAAACATCTCAAAGGCATAGTCAAGACCTACTTCACACCACTTTGGTCCACATTAAAAGAGAATTATATTCGAGCATGTGCTCTAGTGGAGATAGATTCTCCCTATTTCCCTGGGGCCTCCAACCCATTTGAAGGGCTGTGGGCAATGGGAGAGGAGAGTCAAGAATGAATTTGCTTTAAGATTCCATTCTACCAGTTGTGCTTGTTCAATGTAAACATGGCAGGTAGGAG